CTACTAGTTGCCGTTCAACCGGCGATAGAAGTATCTGCACTTACAACTTCAATTTTTTAAGTTTTTCATTTAGCCCGCTATCTAGGGTCGCCCTGTTTGTTGCGAGTTGGACGCTTTATGGACGTGGACCTCAGAAAATATTGCTTGCTTTGCATGTAATTTTCTATTTAACGTTCGGGGTCACCACTTGGGGTCGGATATGCTTTATTCTGTCTGTTTAAAAAAGGGTATAAAATCAATTTACTGGAATCGCCGAGAGCGATGGTTTATTTCACCTCGTCTTTTACTTATAAAAACTTTACTCAAACTAAACTGTTATAAACGCATTAAAAATATTCATTATACATCTACAAGGAATTTTATTCCAAATTGCAACTGATTGCAATTCATTGACGTTAGCGTCAAATAAATTAGATACTTACTCAAGAAAAATTAAATGGGGGAAGGAATTACAAAATTACGATCATTAAGTAGAACCTAGTACATCAGTAGTCCTTTGAGGGTCAGGGCTAACTAAAAATCTGATCGATTTTTGGCCCCTCGGACAGTTATATTTTTAACGTTAGTTTTATTTGTGATATCAGTTATTATTGTGAAATAGTTCGTTTTCTGTTCTCTTGTCAGTGTTCGCTCTGATTAGCATCTTTTTTCCGTCTTCTAGTGAATGGCAGCTAAGAGGTAGGCCCGATATATATTGGCCGATAGATCGTGGCTAGGGCTGCCATAGTACTCCCCCCTAGACAAGTCGTAGACTGTGCTGCTTGTCATACGCGAATTAATGGCACTTTAATTTGTGAATCTCTTTTACCTGGGACCAACTGCGTTATTCGTGTGGACGGCTTCGCCAGCCTCATCAATTGCCATAAATGCAGGTTTTTAGTCGATCGACAATGCTGTTCCTTTGCCATTGATCCGCACGACGAAGACCCGATCTGATGACTTGGATATTACCTAATACGGGACTGAATATAAAGGCTCCAACGGCTGTTTTATTGCGTCAGTCCTGATGAATACTTGAGAACATTCATGTGTGGCTTTGTGCAGTAAAAATTTTGACTTGCTATAATGCGAAACTGGCGTCGGCCTTACCGCCTGTATGTTGGTACGAAACTGCGACCAGGTCATAGAAATATTCGTTGTGGAGACGAAGTGTGCACCCGTACAACATTTCGGCAGTTGATGCTTGGTGATCTCCTAGAAACACGTTCGGAATCCAAGCATTACAGTTGGAAGTAATTTTGTCTATGGGTCTGCGGGTTGCATATTACAGCGGCTTTCATAGACCTATGCCAACTCTCGACCGTGCCGTTTGATTGTGGGTGACATGGTGTCGTGTGGATGTGTTCACTTCCCAATAAATTGGCTAGTGATTCGAGGGTGCGTCCAGGTCATAGAAATATTCGTTGGGAAGACGAAGTGTGCACACGTACAACATTTCGCCAGTTGATGCATGGAGATCTTCCTAGAAACACGTTCGAAGGCCAAGCATTACAGTTGGAAGTAGTTTAGTCCATGGGGTCCGCGGCTTGAACATTACAGCGGCTTTCATAGACCTATGCCAACTCTCGATAATTCCGTATGACTGTGGGTGATATGGTGTCGTGTGGATGTGTTCACTTCTCAATTAATTGGCTAACGATTTAAAGAGTGGAGACTCGAATTGCGCCCCTTGATCAGTAGTGTTTAACAAGGGACACCAAAACCGTGATATCCAGCATAACCAAATTGTATCGCAGATCATCTGTGCTGTCATATCCTGCAGACGTACTGCCTCCGGCCAGCGAGAGAAAAGATCGATCATTGTCAGGCAATACGTGTACTCACCTACCAAGGCTATTATGACATTTGCGATTAGGTATCATCGAGTTGTGTTTTTTGTATTTTCGCCCTTTGACATGGCAAGCAAATTCGTGACCATTCCATTATGTCCTTACGCATCGACGGCCGAACATATTTGGCACATATTTGTTTGACTGTAGACCTTCCACTAGGATGAGAGAGTCGATGAACAATCGAAAATATGTTGTATCTCAGTTTCTGTGGAATATATGGTCTAGGAATAGCTATGGATACATCGCAGTAGAGAAAAGTTTCCTTGTTGACTCGCATCGACTGTAGTTGTAACGATGTCTCTCCATTTAAAATCCTTATCAGTTCGCTGTCTGTTGCTTGAGTCGCTTCAATGCTTTTTGTATCGATCGTCGTCGGCATCGGTATTGCATTGATCCTGAGGAACGCGTCTGCTACTACGTTGTCGCTGCCGTTTACATTTAGGATCTTTGTGGAGTATTGGGAGATAAGTCCTAATTGGCGGAGTTGGCGCTCCGATGCTTTTCCAGGTTTTTTGGCGAGTGCGTATATCAGCAGCTTGTGATCAGATTTTATTGCGAAAACCCTTGCTTCTAGCATATGCTTGAAATACATCATCGCTTCAAAGATTGCTAGTAGCTCCCTGTCATATGTGCCTTCCGCTGCGCTTAGTTATTTTGAAAAGAAACCTAGGGGCTCTCGTGTACCTCTGTTGAATTGCTCCAGTACTGCACCGTTGGCTGTGTATGTATGCGCGTTCTAAGTCTTAATTTATGAAAATGAGTTTACCCTATAACCGGTCTACGAAGTCGTTTATGTGTGGTATCGGATAACGATCAGGATTTATTATCGCATTAAGCTTCCTGTAATCGCTACAAGCCTGCCAACCATCACTGGTCTTTGCTATCATATGCAGCAGGCTTGCGCGACAGATTCCTTCGTCGATAAGTTGATGGATTTGTGCTCTCGCTGTTGACAGTTTCTCACCCATCAGTCGCCGTGGACAATCTGCTACTAGTGCTCCAGTTGTGATGATGATGTGCATGTGATACGCGATTTTCGTGTGAGGTGTTGGCCTTGCTGAACGGTTCTGTATGTTTTGCGTGAGGCCTACGTCAATGTGGTTTTCGTGCATTATTTGCTGCTTCGAAATGATACGGGTTGATTGAACTGCCGAAAGTTAGGTGCTCCTGTGTGGAGATAAGACGTTTTTGCTTGATGCCTATGAGCAAGTGGAACGGTAACAGAAAGTCAGCGCTAATTATTGCCGCTTGCGCGTCAGCAATGATACGGGACCACTTAAAAGCACTACCCAGGCTCCAGTTGAGCTCTAGGTATAGGTTGCCATATGTTTGTATTATGATAACTATACAGATCCTGTACGTGTAGACGGTCGTCTTGCCCCCAGTCGCCTGTGCTTAATGGTTGCTGGTCGAGGAAATGCTGCCGCGCCAGCTGAGTGAACGGCAACCGCTTTAGTTTAACTGATGGTAGTTTGGCTGACATTTACGGGCGCGATCAGCAAATTGGCTGTGGTAGCAGCAGAGCGATCTTTTAACCCGACTTTCCTAGTCGTTTCCTCATTTTGGTGAGCGTACATATGACAGTTTTGGGCTACCACATTCGTCCTGTAGATTATCGACTTTCTGCGAAAGCGCGTCCAAGGCGGCCGCTAAATCAGTTAAACTGAGGCTATTGTTACTGACAATATTCTGCTGTTTTTGCTCAGCAGTTACAGTTTGTGTCGGCATTACGTAATTCGGTTCCATTCCACTATCTCCCAGCATCTTGTCCCCGATTTTTGCCGACTTATTTAGGTTATCTTCCTTCCAGATAAAATTTAGCGGACAAACTGACATTGACAGCTCCTTCTCCTTCTCGAACTGTACCGACACCAAGACGAACTTGCGATTGTCAGTTACAACATTGTGCAGGAAAAACAAGCGATCCAATAATGAAAACCAAAGTTGAGAATTGCAATTGTTGAACTTCGGAGCTTTGATCTGTGAGTATTGCCGAAAATTTTCTACTAGTGAACGTTCAACCGACGATTGTAGTTGCTGCACCTTCAATTCTTGAAGTTCTTCATTTCGCCCGCTATCTAGGGTCGCCATGTTTGTTGCGTAGAAAAGATCGTCATGGTCGCGAATTGGGTGCATTATGGACGTGGACCTCAGGAAATAGTGCCGGTTTTGCATGTTATGCTCGATTTAACGTACGGGGTCACCACTTAACCTCTCAACCAGTCATGTTCTTAATGTTAGTTTTATTTGTGAAATCAATTATAATTGTGAAATAGTTCGTCTTCTGCTTTCTTGTCGTTGTTCGCTTCGATTGGCATCATTTTACTTCTTCCAGTGAATGGGAGCTTAGAGATAGATCCGATAAATATCGGTCGATAGATCGTGGCTAGGGCTGCAACAAATTTAATAATAGTAGCGCTATCTATGTGTCAGTCTACGAACTTTTCAGCCAACCTTACTTAAACTGCTACATTTATTTATTTGTAATGTCGAAAGTTAAGACCACTTCTGAACTGTTGACAGTAGTGCGATGCACACAGCTCGAATTCCCTTTTACTTTACAGTCTCTTTAAAAAAAAAAAAAAAAAAAATAGTACCCTCGGTAGGGTTCAAAATTGCAACAAAACACGCTAACTGCCTCTATCTCTAATCAACAGCTAATGAGATAAAACGAAAAATACTTGATACATATATACAATGCTAGAAGATGCATGTCAAGTTTGGTGACTCTAGCTCTTATTATTTACCAAAATTGTTCGTAAAACAGGATTTTGATATTGAGTTATATCGATTGCTTGAGAACGGGGCAAGTTATTGATTATCTGAAGCAAACTTGTTTTGCGTAGAAGGGCCTACATGCCAAGTTTCAAGTTTCTTACTCTTGTATGTTCTGCGATCTTTGCGGACTGACATATCTGGATTAGCTTCATTCTGTCTGTTTAAAAAAGGGTATAAAATCAATTTACTAGAATCGCTGACGATTCTACGGACGGCTTCGCCAGCCTCATCAATTGCCATAAATGCAGATTTTAATCAGTCAATCGACTATGCTGTTCCTTTGCTATTAATCCGCACGACGAAGACCCGATCTGATGACTTGGATATCACCTCATCGGTACTGTGTTACGGAACTGCTTGTTTCTCGGTGGGCGCCGCCGGCCGGCTCATCGGTTTCTCTGGGTGTAGTCCCATCCCTGGCCCGCAGTCCGCACAATCGATAACAACGAAGCTACACGTCTGTAGCAAAACACACTTACACAACACTATGCAAAGCGAACCACCACTCGATAACGTCAAACAATAGGAACTTCTAACTCATGAACAAAATAAACAGCTGTAACAACTATGAACATGTAAAAAACAAAGGTGAGACACTCAATATAAATTAACAAAAAAACACTATTTATCCACCTTACTCTTCCAGATCGGGGCCCGGTTCCGGACACAGCGTAGCCGCCCAACCATGAGACGATCACCTACTCGTCTCCAACGTTCTGCCATTAGATGGCCATCAGCCTGTGCCGGCTGTTATGCCAACTCTCTCCAACAAAGAAAACTACCCGGACATTTCTCTCTTCAGATACGGTATATAATTGCTTGCATTTCTTATCGTTGTTAACATTTAATCTTATTTTTTATTCCCCTGCAGGTTATCTTCAAGCTGTTATTTATAATTTCGTACTCGCTAACGTTTCCGGCACTTTAAGCCAGGTGCATACGAAAAGCTGGTATATTCTTATATCTAAAATAATAGATATAAGTTTTAAGTTTCAATTTCTTTTCTTGTTTCAACTTCGCTTAAACGGTTATCTATAACGCGTTGCATCATTTCATATTTGTAACAATTTCTATTAATCTTAAATATATTATATTTCCTTTTTTTGTACAGAATATCTTTTTCTGTTGGCGACCTTCGTATGATACCGGAGACCACAAAACAAAATCGGCCAGAAGTTATTGCCAGTCAACAAAGGAAAGGAAAACAAGGGGAGAAATATAAACACAGGTAATTATTGCACCAATGGGGAGCAAGTACCCGCTAAAATAAATGCGTGTATACATATGTGTTTCCAACGTAAGGCGTTGTTTGTCAAAGCGCTTATTACCTTGCCTGCCTAAAGAGCTCTCTCTCTATATATATATATATACATATATATATACATATATGCATAAGTGGGTATCACTCGTGCATAAGTTGACCAAAATCTAAACTTTTTAATTTTATTCTTTACTTTGCAGACGCAATTATCTATGGGCCCTTTCCTTTCCGGTTCGCACTTTCGGAAATTTACTTAATTTAAACTAGTCGTGAGTTTTTTTTTTTGTATTTAATAGCAAAAAAAAACTGGAGTTAAAAATTACAAAAAAAAATCGGTTCTCTTTCAGGGAGCACAATGGGAAGTCTGCGTCTGACTGTGCCGTTTACTCAGGCGAGGACGCACGAAATGGAACAGACTCACTCGGGTGAAATGGGCGTGGTCTTGCCCGTGGCTGCCTCTTCGTCGTGTGAGTCCCGTCCGTGATGGCTCATCTCTCCGTCGTGTGGATTACGCCGACACTTGGCCGCGCTTTGAAAATCCGGCCCGTGAATATCGGGGTTGATCTGGCCAGCGTCCTCCGGCGCGGGAACCAAACGTGGTGTGCCACAGGATGGCTGCGGCTGCTCTAATAGAGTATCGCTTTTATAGTAGTTTTAAATGACGACAGTGTGTTTCGGGTGTATTATTGTTTCGCGTATTATCGCTCTTGGGCACTATTTCTTTTGCAATACGTTGGCACATAAAAAATTATCTTCGCAATTAAATAATAAAGAAAGCTCGTCATGAACAAAAGTATGCCCTTTGATTTTTTCTTTTTTTCTTTTTGGTTAAGCACATGCTCCGTGGCCGGCAAGAAAAATATCCAACTTCCAAAAATTCTTAACTGTGAGCCGGTACGTCCGCTGTGGACCGCTGACAAAGTCAAACTCCTCGTACATTTGGGCAGCCCAATTTCGGCACACGAGAGTTCTCAGTTGAGAGTGATTGACGTGTTTTACTTGTGCTCCAAGATTTTTATATATTTTTGCGCTTTTATCCTGCTTTTTATTTCAAAATTTTGCATTTTTCGGTGCTTTATTTAAAAAGCTTTTATAAACTGTGCAAAGTGTTATCTGTTGTGCAGCGTAAGTCTGTTAATTTTTGCATTTTATAAAACGCGGCGTCAGTTCCGTGTTTGTTGTTATTGCCTGTTTTGATTCTTTTGCTTTGGTGCTCCCCTGTGCATACACACGTTTGTGCGTGTGTTCGCTGCCTACTTTCTGCTTGTGCATCGCGCTCTCGCAAATGTTTTCTATTGCTTTTCGCACCAAACAATTTGTTTGTGTACGAATAACTGTTTTTTGAGTACTTACTTGCTCTATCTTGTGCACCGTTTTCGTTTTGCTCTGCGCTCTCGCAACTTGCATACTCATTTAATAATAATGTCATGCTCTAAGAAACCGTGCACGTTCAAGCAGGCTGACGATTCTGCACTGCCGTAATTTGTTAATTGCTGGCTGTGTGAGAATATGATGGATGCTAAATGTGCAGGTCTCACTGGGCGTGATTGCGACAAGATCGCTGCTATTGCCAAGAACGGCTGCGGTGGCTTCCGTTGGTCGTGCCCAGAATGCATCGACAAGCAAATTGATTTCTCTAGAATGTATAATTCTGTGAGAAATCAATTCTTAAAATTAAATAATGTGGCTAAGCAGCTCTCGAGTAATTTTGACTCGAGTTTCGAGTTGCTTGGCAAATATAAATTTGAGTCCCCAACCAATCGCCGGTTGGAGCCACAACTTTTGCAATTGCCCTCTACGTCTGTTCAGACACCTACGAATTTCTTGTCCCTTCCTAGCAACTTGGAGGTATCTCCAATGTTGTCTTTATCGCCTTCTCCAAGCGACTGTCCAATTACCCCTGTTTCAACCCTTGTACTAGTCCCAGTAGAGCCCGTACCTGATCCCGTCCCAATTAATCAAACTGCCTCAGCCCCGCCAGCTCCTGGCCGCAAAGGTAGACCTGCGCGCAATCTTGCCCAGATTGCTAAAAACAATCATTGTGCCTCGTTAGCTCCTCCAACTCCTGTATTACCTACAGCCACATCAGCGCATACTTTAACGGTAGTTGCCCCTCGTAGGCAGGTTTTTGTGTCTCGACTTTCGTCGGACACCACTTCTGAGTCATTGGCAGCCTATATTGCTAGCAAATCTTCTGCTAGCGTGTCAATAACCAAATTTAATTTCTCCACCCCTCGTGAAATATCATCATTGAAAATAAATGTTTCACATGATATGTTCCCAATTATTTGTGATCCCAAATTTTGGCCTCCACACATAATTGTTCACGAGTTCAAGCCTAAAAATCGTAACCAGCCTGTCACCCTTCCGGTCCCTTCATTACCATTTCTGCCTCAAAAAACTAGCTTTATCTTTTGACCAAATCTTTATTGATTATCAGAATATCAGAGGTCTCATTTCAAAGCTTAAAAATCTTTTCATGGCCAGCACTTCCTTCGATTCGGATATAATAGCATTTTCAGAAACATGGTTAAACTCAACCATATTTGATTTTGAGATTTTTGTTTAGAAATGATCGGCCGACTCGAAGTGGTGGAGTGTTAATTGCCGTTAAAGTCACTCTCCATTCTGTTTTAGTAGGCCCACTGACGCTAAGATTGTCTCAGTTAAGGTGTCTTTTCCTACACGGAATACCTATGTAACATGCTCTTATGTCCCACCTTCTTCTGATATGCAAGTTTATATGAATCATATTACTTGTATTAAAGAAGTTTCTTCACACGTGCGTGATAATGATTTATTAATGGTGTTGGGTGATTTTAATTTGCCGAACATCTCTTGGTCATTATTCACTGCTGAAAATTATCTAGTGCTCTGTTTCAAATCAATTCAATTTCTAATCATATGAATAGAACACTTGACCTTGTATTTGTTAACGACTACCTTATTTCTAATTTGCCTAGGTCTCCTCCTTTATCTCTTCCTGAGGATGTCTATCATCCAACTTTAGACATTGCAATGCTAAATTGTAATCCTTTCATTTCTTCCTCATCAGCCAATAAGCCCCGCTATTGCTTTCGCAAAGGAAATTATTCTTTGCTGAATCAGCTTATTTATTCAACCGATTGGTCTTTCTTATATGACTCAGTTGATATGAATACAGCCATTAATTTTTTTATATCACCCTAAACTCCCTCTTAGATGTGTGTATTCCTAAGTCAATTCCTTCGACTACTTTTTCAAAATCACCCTGGTTTACTCCCAGATTATCACATCTGAAAAATGTAAAATCCAAATATTTTAAAAAGTTTAAAAAGTCTGGTTCGTGTACAGACTTGGCTAAATATTACATAGCCAAGTCGAACTTCTTTCTTCTTAATTCTCAATGCTATGAGAATTATCTAACTCGTTGTAAAAGGCGATTCGCCCGAAATCCGAGACAGTTTTATAATTTTGTAAACTTGAAGCGTAAATCTTCAAGTTTGCCATCTTCTTTTTTTCTTGGGATGGATAAAGCTAGCAATGACACTGATTCTGCTAACCTCTTTGCTAATTTTTTCCAATCAACTTACTCTTCAGTCTGTCCTAATACTAAATCTTACCCTTATACGATTTCTTCCGGTAGTTCTATACCTCCCCCCATTATTTCACACTCCTCTCTCCTATTAGCTATAAACTCTTAAAATCTTCTTATTCTCCTGGGCCGGACAATATTCCTAGTTGTCTACTCAAGGAGTGTAGTACTTACCTTTTTTATTCATTGCTAAAGCTTTTTAATCTATCCCTTGAAACTTCTGTCTTTCCATCTATTTGGAAAGAATCTTATATCATTCCTCTTCACAAGAAAGGTGGGAAGTCTGATATACAAAATTACAGGGGCATTGCAAAACTGTCCGCTATTCCTAAATTTTTTGAAAAAATAATCACTATGAATTCACAGCATTTCTGCAAATCAGTTGTTTCCCCTGTTCAACATGGATTCGTAAAGAATCGGTCAACTACGACCAATCTGCTTGAGTTTACTTCCTTGGTAAATGATGCTTTCCTTTCGAAAATGCAAACTTATGTCATTTACACTGACTTCAGTAAGGCGTTTGAATCTGTGCACCATGACATTTTACTTTTTAAACTTGACCGAATAGTATTCCCTCTGCCCCTTTTACTTTGGATTAATTCTTATTTAAAAGGTAGGACCCAAAGAAAAATACTAAGGTTGACTACCTCTAAAAGGGTTCACGTTACTTCTGGTGTTCCTCAAGGAACTCCCTCTGTTATATCACATGCCCGTGTACTCATGTATGCGGACGATGTCAAACTTTTTATATCATACACTAATCATCACTACATCATTCTCGTCTACAAGACGATTTGAACGCTATGCAATTTTGGTGTTCGGCCAATCTATTGCATCTAAATTGTTCAAAGTGTATGTTTATGACATTTAATCGTACTACACCATATCTTGTCAGTTATACAATCGACAATATCCCTTTGCAACGTATACTAACAGTTAAGGATCTAGGCGTTATTTTTGATTCTAAACTCTGTTTCAATCTTCACATAGATACCATTGTTAATGAGGCAAAAGGTGTACTTGGATTCATTAAACGATGGTCTAAAGAGTTTAACGATTCTTTAATAACAAAACTTCTGTACATCTCCCTTGTTCGCCCTATCCTTGAATACTGCTCTTGCATCTGGTCTCCACAGTATAACAACAGCCAGGATCGTATTGAATCTGTTCAGAAGCAATTTCTGCTTTTTGCCTTACGAGGTTAAAATTGGGACCCTAATCTTCGGTTGCCGTATTACTCCAGCAACCGTAGGACAATTCTCGGTGTTGTCCTTCTACATAAGTTGATTGTTGTCCTTCTACATAAGTTGATTTCCCATTACTTTTCTCTTTGTCCTATCTACTTAACACTCTTTATCCAATTCACATTGGTTTACTTTATTAACAATCTTCTTACTTTCTTTTTTTTTTTATATATTGTATTTTCTTTATTAATATATCAAATTAAGATTAGTTTTAATTTTACTTGGATACTAGATGTGGGCTCTAATAGCGTCACTGAAAAAATTAGCTGTGAAAAGGGGCACAGCTGGCCGGACTGGCAAATAAAACACCTCCATTGGTCGGTGATGCTATTTAGAAAATTGTATCCTTTAACTAGGATTTTAGCATATAATTCTATTGTATAATCTATTGAATAATGAGGAAGACATTCGATTTGTCGACCATTAATAAATAAATAAATAAATTGGCGAGGCGGGCACCGTTGCCGCCCATCTGCATAGCTGCATTTTTTTGGGTCAATGGCCCAAATGACGGCCAAGGGCATATCCAAGGGCATGCGATCCACTCTCCTCATATTCTCTTTAAGAGCGAACTGGGCGGCCAATAGCAATCGTCGCTTTTGGCGCCGTGGATCGCAAGTCTGGCGTTGCCACCCTTTAAAAATTTGGGCTCCGCCGTGGGCCCAGCTTCACCCCGCATACTCTGACCATACAACAAAAAGATATCGGCGTGGCCGATAATATCGCACGCAAACAACTAAGTAAACCCTCGGTGCTGCCGATAACGTCAAATGCAACAACTTAGTATAAAGGCTCCAACGGCTGTTTTATTGCGTCAGTCCTGACGAACACTTGAGAGTATTCATGTGTGGCTTAGAGAAGTAAAAGTTTTGA